CTGATGCATGAGAGAGCGAATGCTGGGCAAGACACTCGCAAGGACGATGGTGAGCACTGCCCGGGCCAGGGGCAGTAAGATGTTTGACGCTTCGCGTAGCGGCCCTGCCAGCCCATTCCAGAAATGACACCCAAGGAAAAGCGCAGGAGCAAAGACAGAGGAGGAGGAGAAGGAGAAGGGGGAGGAGGAAGGGGGGGATGGATGGATGGGCGGATGGACCATGGAGGAGGGAGACATAAAGAGGATGAGGAGGAGGAGAAGAAGGACGATGAGGAAGGAGGAGAAGGCCTCCTCGGGCCGCTCTCTCACCACTTGGATCTGTCTTGGGGTGGTCTTGAGGCCTCCTGGAAAAACCTGGAGGCCATCTTGAGCGATCGCGAATCATGAACTATCTTGGGGGCCACCTCCGATTCTGAGCTCCTCTTGGAACCGTCGTGGGCCATCTTGGAAACTCCAGCCCTTCGCGAAACCCTTAGCCTTGTCCAAGTCCAGGGGGCGGGGGCAGAAGGCGGGAGTAAACCCGTCCGAAGGGGAAGAGGGGGGTTGGAAGAAACAACTTTCTAGCCTACGCCCAGAGGGCTTGCAGGATAGACTAGCTGGGGAGAGCGAGAGAGAGAGAGGCGGCAAAAAAGAAGCGGTCCTGCCCCTGCAGCTCGGCTGCAGCTGCAGCTGCTTGGCCGGGCGTGGCTGCAGCGTTGCCTCCTGCCTCCTGCTGCTGGCTGCTGCCTCCTGCTCCTCCTCCTCCCTCTTCGCCTGATTCTCCTCCTCCTCCTCCTCCTCCTTCGCCTCCTCCTTCTCCTCCTGCTCCTTCTCCTGCTGGGGCTTCCTGGGACTTCGGCTTCTTGGGGCCTCTTGGGACCTGCCCCTCTGCCTTCCCCTCCTTCTCCTGCTTCTCCTCCTCCATCCCCCATCCCCTGTTCACCAGGGGCGACTTGCTGGAGAGTGAGGGGGGGTGCACGAGGTGAGGGAGAGGGATGTGGCGCAGACAAGCTAGGTGCGCTCGCGTCAACATGTGACATCTTGTTGCTGGCAACGCCCTGCCCCTTTTCCCAATCTGCAAGCTATGACCGCTGCAACTGGGGCGTCAGCGCTGCTGTTTCTGGCCCTTGTCAAACTCCGCCGAATGGCAACCTTCGCGCTATGAGCCGAGCCAATTACTGTGCAAAGCGGAGCCGAGCCCAAAACAGAACCAGACCCAAGATTTTGCATTTCTTGACAGCGTGTCCCCACCAGCCCATCCAACAACGATGCCCTGGCAAGTTGAGGTGTTGCGGTGAGAGGTTTTGGAAGTCTCTTGAGGCCATCTTGGGGCTCTCTTGGGGTCCTCTTGGGGTCTTGTGGCCCTCTTGGGGCCATATTGTGGCCCTCTTGGGGCTCTTTTGGGGCCCTCTTGGGGCTCTTTGGTGGGCCCCCAAGAGACCTCAGGTCTCTTGGGGTTGTTTTGGGCCCCGTGGCTCAAAAAATGGGGGTAATCAAATCCCCCCCCCCCCCCCTCGGAGGCTCAAAAAGGCCGTCTTGGGGCCCTCTTGGGGCGCTCTTGGGCGCTCTCGGGGCCCTCTTGGGGCCTTCTTGGGCCGCTCTTGGGGCCCTGGCCATCTTGGGGCGATCTTGAAGCCTCCGAGGCCCGCCGGAAGCGAAAAGGCGAGAACGCCAAAAACAATGATTTCCTTGCCATTTTGGCCTCTTGGGGTGGTCCTTGGATGGCTCGGCTCTTGAAACCGTCTTGGGCTGTCTTGGGGCCTCTTGGAGGTATGATCGGAGGCTAGCTTGAGCCATTTTGAGCTGTCGTGCGCCATCTTGGAGGCCATCTTGGGGTCTCGGAACCCCTCTCTGGAGCCATCTTGGGCCATCTTGAGGTTCTCGCGCCTCAGCCCCCCCCCTCCTGGGCCCAGGGGAGGGGGTAGAGGGAGGGGTAAACCCTTCCACTTGTGGAAAGAGAGATGACAAAACTCGTTAAACCACGTGCGCCCAGAGGGCTGGTGGGATCATGCGCCAATCTGTTGCCATTTCAGCTGCTCAAGCTAACCACTTGCCAAGTTGACCGGATGGGGGATCGCGCTGATGTGGGATCCCCAGAGCCGCCCAGCAGGCCGCTGCGCGGGCTTGAGACGGCTGGCGGCCGACCTGAATTATTGGCTGCTCTTGTGAGAGGTGGAAGTGCGATCGACGTGCTTGACAGTCCTGCCAAGACTGAACTGGACCTGGATTCGACCCCGGAGCCAGAACCAAAGACATCGCCAGAGCAGAGCAGACCAGGGCCAGTTGACAGTCCCGCCGAAATCATCGCTGTGGATTCGAGCCTCGAACCAGAACCAATACCATCACCAGAGCAGAGCATACCATACCATAGCATCAGCGCTGCTGCTGCACATACAAGGCCCCAAGAGGCCAGTGATGAACATGATGGCGTATCAGGAGCTGCTGCATTGGATGATTGCGTGCCAGAAGCTGCTCGTGCTGACTCCAACGTGCCGACTCCAATTGAGACAGCGCCGGCTCCCAAATCAGAAGAGGAATGTATTGATGTTCTTGATTCTCCGGCCTCCTCTCCTGAGTCGTCGTCCTGTGCATCTCTTCGCGAAGCGCTCTTACATACAGATAATGTAGAAGCGCATGATTTATTGATTTCAGACTGGCGCAATCGGAATGATGGTAGGGAGCCGCGGTTGGAGCCGCGGTTGAGGTCCCGCTCCAGGGCGAGAAAATGTCGCTGGGATGGGGGAGGGGGTGGGGGGAGGGAGGGGAAGGGGGGATGAGGGAGGGGGGGGATGAGAGACGAGGGAGTGTGACAGGAGGGAGGGGGATCAAAGGTCATATGGAGGAGGGTGGTTGGAGGGAGGGAGGGAAAGCGGGGTCAGGGGAGGGAGAGAGAGGGACCGATGGTGGAGCAAGGGGACAAGGGAGAAAAAGGCTGGCACATTGACTGCCACCTGTATGGCATCACTTGAGTCCTCAATGGGTCTGCGCCAGCTAGCTGGCGATCGGCTGTAAACGCACGCTGTAACATGTATGCAATACATGTGTGTATATATATATACATATATATATGTGTAAATATAAGATACGTGTGTATATATATATAGGTATGAATATGAAAAGAATCCTTCCCCCCCACACTCCTCCTCCCCCATCCCCCCTCTCCCATTGTCACTCCCTCTCCCCTGTCCTCCTCCCCTTGCCGCCGCTCCCTGGCCTTTTTTGGTGGGCGCGCGTGCCAGGCGGCTTCCTGCTCCTCCTCCGCTCAGACGCTGGGCCCCCGGTTCTCCTGCTTCGCGTTCTTCTTGCCCTTGCGCGCGGTCTTCTTCGCCGCCCTGGCCCTCTTCTCCTCCACCGCCCTGGCCCTGTTCTTGGCCACCACCGTGGCCATGCGGCGGCCAATCCCGCCGTCGTCGCACCTCTGCCGCGCTTCCTCGAGCCACCTCGCGCGTTCCTCCTCCTCCAGGCCCTCGTCCTCCTCAGTCTCAGGCCCGCGCTCGTCCTCAGCCGGCTGCGGCGGTGGCTGAGCTGGTGGTGGCCTCAGGCGCTTAGCCGGCGGCGCCCGCGGAACTTGTGCTGGCGTCGGTGCTGGCGGCGGTGCTGGCTTCGGCGTCAACTTGACTCTGAATCTGGCGGCCTGACGGGCCAAGGGCTCCTCTGGTGCTGGCTTCGGCGCTGGCTTCGGTGCTGGCGGCCGCTCCAGGGGCGCCCGTCGTGCTGGTGGCTTCGGTGCTGGCGGCTTCGTCGGTGCTGGCGGCGGACGCGGCGTCGGCGCTGGCGGTGGTGCTGGCGGAGTCGGCGGTCTGCGCGGTGATTCCGCCGGCGGTGCACGCCACGAGCCCCAGTCATCGTCGTCGCTGTCGCTGGCGTTGAGGGCTGCCTGCTGCGCCCGCGCTGGCTGCGCTGGTGGTGGAGGCCGCGGCGGCCTCCTCTGTGCTGGCGTCGGTGCTGGCGTCGGAGTCGGCGGTCTGCGCTTCGCCGGCGTTGGCCCTGGCTCCATGCCGGTCGACACGGGCGCCCGCACGGGGGCCCACACGCCCTGGTAACCTCTACCATCATCGCTCGCCGCCATCGGCCGCGTCGTGGGCTGGGCGCGCCGCCTGGGCCAGCGCGCCTCGATGACGCTGAGCCAAAATGGCTACGTTTGATTGCTTTGATTTGGGGATCCTGGCTTGTTTTGGGGATCCGTGGCTGTCTTTCTCGCTCTCTCGCTCTCTCTCTCTCTCTCTCTCCCTCTCTCTCTCTTTCTTTTCCTCTCTCTCTCTCTCTCTCTCTCTCCCTCCCTCTCTCTCTCTCTCTCTCTCTCTCTCCTTCTCCCTTTCGGCCTGAGGGCTTTCGCTGCGGGTCGGTCACCCAATTCACACTGGCGGCAGGTGCTGTCTGCCCTAAGGGTGAAACGGCGGTGCCAATTTGGGCATCCGCCGCCTCTCTTTCTCGCTCTCTCTCTCTCTCTCTCTTTCTCGCTCTCTCTTTCTCTTTCTCTCTCTCTCTCTCTCTCTCTTTCTCTCTTTCTCGCTCTCTCTATCCCTCTATCTCTCTCAGAAAATCGAGAGAGATTCAGAGAGAGGGGATGTGGGTCATAAAGCTTGGAGTCAAAAAACCTAAGGCTTGTCTGGGAAGATTCTTCCTTAACAGCCAGATTGATCCTTGGTGTTGGAATCCAGAGAAACATGTTTGGCATGCGTCAGGGTCTTCAGACGTGTGTCTTCCAACGAGGCAGTTCCCTCAGTAAAAATGAACCGTTGTAGGGGCCTATGAGGGGGGAGCTTGGAGGGAGGGTTTACTCCAACATCGTTGATGATTCTTGGGTTTACACTGGTCCTCCTCCTCCTCCTGCTCCTCCTCCTCCTCCTTCTCCTCCTCCTGCTCCTCCTCCTCCTCCCTCTCCTCCGTCTCCCCCGCAATCCCCTCCTCGCCCTCATCCTCACCCTCGCCACGCCCCCCCCCGGTCCTCCCCGCTTGCGACGACGAAGAAGAGCGACGACGACCTCTCCCCAAGCGCTCTTTGCGCGACGCCGGCACGCTCAAAGCTTGCTCAGGCGAGGCAGGGCCGTGTACGACTCCAGCGGGTCCCTCGGCGGTGGAGGCAACGCGTCCTCACCCCGCGCGGAGGAAGGATCGTCGTCGTCTCCGCCGTCTGGTGATGGGAAGAGGAGAGGGGTCATGAGAGTAGAAAGGATGGCGGGGAGGATGCGGTGGGGGTCATCAGCACAAGGGCTTGCCGCCGGACGTTCCCATCACATAACTAACTGATCGGTTTGTGTGGATGTGGGAGCCATATTTTCAAAGTTCGGGCACGACCCCCGTCAGCCTGAAAGTGCTGCGCTTGCGCCCCCGAGTCACACCCACAGGACCTCCAGGTGCCCTGTGGCACGTGATGCTACGAATGGTCCGCATCGTCCAGGCCGCCACGATCCGCGGTAAAACAACGCGGGCTACCCACGAACCCAGTGAGGAACTTGAGTCGAGCTTTCATCTGACGCGCGCGCAACACTTTTCCTCTGCTTGGCTGCAACCACTGCCTCCTGCGCGTCCTGCTTATTCTCTTCCTCCTCCTCCTCCTCCTCCTGCTCCTCCCTCTCATCTCGACCTGCTCCTCCTCCTCTTCCTCCTCTTCCTCCTCCTCCTCCTGCTCCTCCTCCTCCTGCTCCTCCTCCTCCTCCTGCTCCTGCTCTTCCTGAGAAGCAACCCCTCCCTGCCGCACCCCGAAGCCAGGGCGAGCCGGGCGCTTCGCCGAAAAGCTCCTCACCACCTGTGCGATTGGTCGCGTAAAGAGTGGCAACGCTTGCCCGATCCTTCGCGCCGCGCGCCTTCGCGTCCTGCTTATCCTCTTCCTCCTCCTCCTCCTCCTCCTCCTGCTCCTCCCTCTCATCTCGACCCTCCTCCACTGCTCTTCCTGATAAGCAACTCCTCCCTGCCGCATCCCGAAGCCAGGCCGGGCCGGGCGTCTCGCCCAAGAGCTCCTCACCATCTATGCGATTGGTCGCGTAAAGAGTGGCAACGCTTGCCCGATCCTTCGCGCCGCGCGCATTCGTCGAAATTCGTGCACTGGTTTTGCGGATTGAGGGCGGGTCGTTTTCAGAATGTGGCCCCCGCCCTAGCGCCGCGCGCGCTCGCTGAAAAAATGCAGCGATTCTACAACTTGAAGCGGGTAATTTTCAAATGTTGCCTTCGTTTTTGCGCCGCGGTCATTCGTTGTAGAACAATTGAATGAGCTTCTCGGGTTGAAAGCGGGTGGTTTTGTTCCCTGCCACTGAAGGGTTTCTAGCGGAAGTTCCAAAATTCTGTGAAGAATCATGGCCGAGAGCGGTGGGCGGCTGGCTTCCCTGGGCTCACAATTCCGAAATCCCGGGTTCCGAATTGCTGGTTCCGGGCCGATTTCGGTGGGCGGCGAGGTTCCTGGGGTCCCGGGTGTCTGGTCTATTGTCTGATCACTCCATTATCGATACCGCGAGTCATGATCGATCTCACTATCCATGTTACCCTATCGATCTCACTGTGGATATTCCGGTCGATCTTGGCACTGGTCTCACGATCGATCTCACGATCCATTTTACTTAATCGATCTGATTACCGATTTTACGATCGATGTTGGTATCGATCTCACTATCGGTACCAATACCGTTCCCAGTATAGATCTCACCCAATCGACCACACTAAAGACCTTACTACCGGTCTCAGTGTCGAATTCCCGATCCTTCTCACTATCGTTCTTACTATCCATCACACCGTCGACCTGGACATCGATCCCACAATTGATCTCCCCATAAATCGCACTATCGGTCCTCCTCCTCCTCCTCCTCCTCCTCCTCCTCCTCCTCCTCCTCCTCCTGTTCCTCCTCCTCGTCCTCCTCCTCCTCCTCCTCCTCATCATCATCATCATCCTCCTCCTCCTCCTCCTCCTCCTCCTCCTCCCCCTCCTCCTCCTCCTCCCCCTCCTCCTCGCCCTCGCCACTCCTCGCTCCTCCCCCTCGTCATCATCTCCCTGCCTCCACACTCCCTCTCCCCATCACCCTCGTAGCCCTCCTGCGCGGCGGCGCTCGCGCACGCGGGCAGCATCCGACGCGACGCACATGGGGTCCCCCCCCTTGGGGGCCGTGCGCGCCCCGCGCGCGCCGGGCGCAGGTTGCACGGGCCCCTTTTCCTGCGCACGTGCAGGGCAGCTTCGAAGACATAGGATTATATATATATATATATACTAGAACCATCGCGCGCGCTTCGCGCGCGCTCAGGTTCTAGCAGACCCCAGGCCTTGACGAATTCACTGCTCCACTGAAGTAGTGGACCACAGTCCACGCATGCCAATCTGCATTCCGAAAGGCCTTCGAAGAAATGGTTGTCTAGGGGGGCGGAAGCCGTATGAATCGGGTTCCCAGAAGGCCTTCTGGGAGCACGGGTTTGGGGGCGTCTTGAGGAGCCTGGTGAGGCGTGCCGTCGTCGTCGTCGTCGTCGTCGTCGTCGTCGTCGTCGTCATCGTCGTCGTCGTCATGTCGTCGTCGTCGTCGTCGTCTTCGTCTCCTGTAGCGGATCCCTAGACCCCTCCCCGGGTCCAAACGAGTAAGCGCAGCAGGGGCAGGAACAGAAGGCGATGGGAGCGAGAGGGGAGGCGGAGGAGGAGGGGGAGGAGGAGGAGAAGGGGGAGCAGGAGGGGAGGAAGAACAGTTCAACCGACATCGGCTACGGAAGGACTCTCCAGGGTCCACCTGACGACTGCCTCTTCTGATGCTCCTTGAGGGACTTCAACCAAACCGCGAGGATCTCGTCGTACGGCGTACGTCGAACGTCATCGGCCGTCCTGGGGCCTCTCGGGGGCCTCTCGGGGCCTCTTGGAAATATATTGGGCCCTCCTGGGAGGCCTCTTGAAGTGGAAGGCTCCAATTGTCGGTTCGGGCTCCCCCATATTGGGCCTCTCTTGGGGCCGTGTTGGGGCCCTCCTGGGCCGTCTGAGGCGGCTCGTAGGCCGTCTTGGGGCCCTCCTGGCCGTATTTGGGCTTCTCTTGGGGGCTTCTCGGGCTGTTTCGGGGTGGTCTTGTTGACCCCTTGAGCCGGCATGGAGATTGGGGAAGCCGACAAGGCCAGAAGGGCGAAGTCCCTCAAAAGACACATAGAAAATCAACGAATTTGGGCTCTCGGGGCTATGTTGGGAGTCCTCCTGGAGCCTTCTTGTGGCGTCTTGTGGGCCTCTTCCGGGTTTTTTCGGGGCTTCTTGGGGCAGAAAGCTCGAATGGTCGGTTCGGGCTTCCGTTCTGGAGTCCCTCGTGGGGCCCAAAGGTGCGCGCAAGGTGGAGCGACCAGCTCTTGAAAGTAAAGAAATACATCGAATTCACTGGGCTGACCGCAGGCGGACGTCACCTGCAAGCCAGCATTGCAGCCTGACGCGCCTTGGCGCGAACGGCACACATACTGAGGCGCCGACCAATTCCCTTTCTGAACATTCGAACGCCAGCAATGAAACTGAACCTCGACGCATTCTGAACCCAGGACTTTACCTGGGATGAACACCTGCAACGGAGGGTGGTGCAGGGCACGCCGGCAGACGTGGCTGCCAGCCTGAGACAAAATCAATCTGGCTTCCTCGGGTCGATCTTGGGGGCCTCTTGGGCTGTTTTCGAGCGTCGGGAACCCGAGAAGGCGAGATGACCAAAATCCTTCGAACATCTACGGAACATAAACAGTGTTCGGCTCTCAGGGCTCTCTCGGGGGTCCTCGTGGGGCCTTCTTGCGGCGTCTGGGTGGCCTCTTGGAGGCATCTTGGGGCGTCTTCGGGGCCTCTTGGGGCCTCCCGGGCGCCTCTTTTGGCGGAAAGCTCAAATTGTCGCTTGGATTTCCCAATCTTGGGCTTCTCTTGGGCGCCTTTGGGGCCCCGTTTGGGCCGTCTGGGGCGCCTCTTGGGCCGTCCTGGGGCTCTTTTGGGCCGTCTTGGGGCCCTCGGGGGCGCCTCTTGGGCCGTCTTGGGGCGGTCTTGGGGACCTCTGATGTCATCAAGAACGGTACGACAGCGAAAACAATAATATGCTAAACATACACGTTTTGAAAAGGGAATGAAGCAATCTTTGCCTCTTGGGGACGTCCTGGGGGGCCTCTCGGAAGCTGCTTAGGAGCGTTTGCGAGGCCTTTGGAGGTGTCTTGGGGGCCATCTTGGGCATCTTGGAGCGGCCTTTGGGTGTCTTGGGTCCGTCTTGGGGCGTCTTCGGGTTCTCTTGGCGCGTTCCCGGGGCGTTTTGAAGGCCTCAGGGACGCCCCAAGAGACTGGGCACACACATTTGTGGTCGTGGTCGCGGCCCCAGGCCCCCGGACCCCGTGCGCTGTTATATGTTTGTGTGTGTATATATATATATATACATACATACATACATACATAGATACATACATATATATATATATATATATATATATATATATATATGCCGTCTTGGGAACCCCTTGGGCCGTCTTGGGCGCGATGACAGCCCAACAGGCGAACACACGAAAAATATACGTTTCCCCACAGGAATGGGACGATTTGTGCTTCTTGGAGCTCTCTTGGGGTGCCTTTTGGAGCGTCTTGGGGTGCTTTTGGGAGCTTTCCGGGCGTTTCTTGGGGGCTTCTCGGCGCCTCCTGGAGCCACTTGGGGTCGAAAGCTTGGAATTCGATGGTGGCTTTCCTCCTCTGGGGCCCTCTCGGGCCCGTCTTGGGGACTCTCTTGGGCCGTCTTGGGCCCTTCGTGGGCCGTCCTGGAGCTTTCTGGGGCTGTATTGGGGCCCTCTGGGGCGCGTCCTGGGATGTATTGGGGCGGTCTTGGGAGCTTCTGAGGTCGTCAAGCACGGACCGAATGCGAAAACAAGCAATATGTTAAAAATATACATTTTACAAAAGGGAATGGGTCTATTTTGGCCCCTTGGGGCTCTGTTTGGGGCCCTATTGGGGGTCGCTTGGGGGTGTCTTGCAAGGGCTTTTGAAGCCGCCTTGGAGGCCATGTTGGGCGTCTGGGAGCGACCTTCGGGCGCCCCGGGTCTGTTCTGGAGCCTCTTGGGGCCTCCTTGGCGCCTTCTGGCGGCTTTCTGTGAAGCCCCGGGGCTCCCCGAGGGCCCCAGAGCCCATTTGCGGTAGCGGCGC